CCCCCTCTCCTAGAGCCGCTACGCAGGCTACTAAGAGATCCAACAAGCATCCTGGTATTTTTACCCCTGAGTCCCCCCCTCTGGGTCCTATTTATTATAGAATTTTAATGTTGAGTACTTAAGTACTTACTGGCATTGATGCTTCTTGCTACCCGAATGGCACCAGTGATGTGGCTAGCACTGATATCAGCTAGCTTTCTTGTGAAGGAAACTTCAGTAGGAAAGTTGTATTTCAATGTAGGCWGTGTTGTGTCAYGGGCATGTCTTGTGAGAATTCCAGGAGCGTGTTCAATTTCTAAAAATATATTTGAAATTATAACAAAATATAAATTGATAACATTTGTACGTAACGTTTTGGATTTACTACTGACTTGTCTATTATTTTGTGGACTGTTTTTGTTTGTTTACTTGAGAAATATGATAAAAATCAATACAAGTCTAGCCTCTTCTTTCAGCCATTTCTATTCCATTTTTTACTTTTGGGCTTCCTGTCTAACCTACGACCAAAGGAGCGTTGCCTGGGGAGGAGTCTAATACAAGTCATGACTAAGTTGTATTTTACCTTCGTATACACTGTGGAATGCAAAGTGCAGATAAAGAAGGAATAAAATATGGACAGCTGCAACGACACACCCAGCAATGACCCCATGTCTACGATTCCAGGTTCTGCTTACATATACACTGACCTGAAATATGATATGAAATGTAAACGAAAGCATACCAGATGAATAATATATAAAATATGAGCGGGAAACCTTTATATTGCTTATTAAATTCCAACATAAGCTTAAGCATATTTCGCAAAAAAACTTCAAGGTAAAATATCGTTTGTAAGAGAAAATCAAAGTTAAAGTTGTATGCAAATAAAGACAAATCTCTTGCTCATATAAAGATATGTTCAAGGCAATGATTTTCCATTGTGTTTACCTTATGAATTATTATCAAATTTGATAATTATATAAAAGTGTGAAATAAATATAAGAAAGATTAATAAATGGGAATGCATATTGGATAGATGGATGGGATGGGATGGGGTGAATAAATGTAACTGTAAACCTACCAGTTTTAAGGATGACAGACCTCCAAATACCAGCAACAAAGCATAGAAGAATGAGTGCGAATGATGGTAACCAACAGTAGTTAGAAACAAACACAATACACTACCAAATAAAGCATAGCCCTAGAAGAAACAAAAGATGCTGGATAATTATACTTAGGGATATCAACAAGATAGAGGGCAAATACTAAAAACATTAAAAAGTACTAACCAAATAAGGTAAATAGTGCAATATGGTGTAGATTAGACAATGAAAAACAAAGGAATTATTATTATTATTATTATTATTATTATTATTATTATTTATCACTAAAGTTCATAGAGTAGTAGTTCTCATTAACCCGTGAAACACACATAAGCGTAATTAACACTATTACACTTTGTCTCTTTTGTTTTTTATTGTCTCTACGCGACTATTACCATCTATTACACTCTAATTATTACACTTTGTTTCACGGGTTTATGAAAACAACTCTACAGTGTTTGCTCTCTACTTTAAACAATCTTTAGCTCACTACTATTTGATAATGACAATGATATCAAGGTGACTGCATTCATGCACATTTGTATCATTAACTGTTGATAGCAGTGAGTACAAAGATTTCTGAGCAATTCAACTTACTGTTAACGAGAGAATTTGGAGGAAGGTCAAGTGCGTATTACAGAAATATCCCACACAGTAACAGAAAGCCGAACCACCAAGCCAGTAACCAAAACACAAACCAAACGCTGTTCCCATTAAAGTTCCTTCTTGCTATGAAACAAATWAAAATGTACCAGTTTTATGACAGGAAGACCAGGAAGAATTGCCTGATCACATAACAAGGTTGAATGTAGAAATTGTCCAGGGCGTCCCAACTTTGTATGTAGACTCCTTGCAGTCGTTTTCYGGTGTCGTCTCCTAATCCTCTGCAACAAACTCCAATGCCGTTTGTGGGGGAGTACTGGGAGATGACACCACAAAATGGCTGTGAGGAGTCTAGTCCCAAGTGTACATGTACTGTCAAATTGATTGGTTGGGTAAAATTCATTGTCTTCCCAATGTGTACAGTATATCAGGTTCCATATATTGTAGGGGTTTTTTTTAATTCTTGTTGATTTTGTTTTGGTCTCCATTAACTTACCACAGTATGGCCAGAAGTCTTCATTCCAAACAAYAGGACAGCAATCAAGGTAAACACTAACATAAGAGGACCATACAACTCACCAGCAACAGTCTAAAATTATTGCATAAAAAAGCATGAAAAATACATTTATTGATAGATGATAAATAATTAGAAGGTAATAGAGAGAGTACAAACATTAAATGTGTGCAACACTTTCCACTATTTACTACAAAATAGTGTTAATTAAACAATAGAATTAGCATAATTTAGCAGTATTTAGTGGTATTTGTGTTGCACAGTTTTAGTGTTTGTACTCTACTTCATTTTGACCATTATAATAAATACATAGAGGATATTACATGGGCGTGTTAGTGTTTTCA